AATAATTTAGAATGAAAATGAGATTGGGAAGTAATTATTCAGCTTTGGTCACAGAATGGCCCTAGAATTGATTTAATTAATGCACTTCTGCTCTATTTTAGTTTTCTGGAGACAAAATCAATATTGACCTCTGTTGATTAAAACCACAAAAGGTGGTTGTCATTAAGTGAATGACTTAATGAAGGTTAGTAGCAAGACAGTCCCCAAACTCTGCACCTCCCCACCATAGTGTCAACTATAGTTTCAACTATACTCCTAGTTGTCCTTGCTCAAATGAGTTAAGTGAAGAAAATATTGCAGAATGTCGGGTGCTGAGTTTAATGAAAGGACCTCAATCAGTGCAGCACTTTTAAGTCTTTCCACCCTATACTCACACCTCTCTCTGATAGGTGAATTTAGATAAAGTTCCTGGTCTTGTACAGCCCAGTCTCCTCCAATATCCATTGCCAATGGGACCAAGCCCTCAAATGCCTGGAGCAGTTATCTTGCTGTATAATCAAGCCCCTGAAATTTAGGGGCTTAAAATATCAGCTTGCATGGAGGCATATGGCATTGGTTCCTCTTCATGTCCTGGGCTTCCTTCACAGCACAATGGCTGGGTGCTAAGGGAGAGGGACCCAACAACTGAATTGCCTTTTAAGACCTGGCCTTGAAAGTTGTGTAGTATTCTCTATTTTTGACGCAGTCATAACCACCCACCCAAATCAAGAGAAGGGGACTGTTATCATTTGGACCTGGAAAGTTCCCTAAAGGCCCATGTGTTCAAGAGTTTTTCTCCAGCCCCTGGTGCTATAGAGAGGCGGCGGAAACTTTAAGAGATGGGGTTTAGTGGGAGGACTTGGGGTCACAGAGTGTGTATCCTCCAAGAGACTAACGGGACCCCAGATCCTTCTTTATTCTCTCATTTCCTGGCCATGAAGTGGGTGATTTTGCTCTGCTACATGCTGTTGCCATGATGTGTCACCACAGACCTAAAACAATGAGCTGGTGGATCATGAACTAAAACCTCTGAAATCATAAGCTAAAACAAACCTTTATTCTTTATAGAGTTGGTTGTCCCAGGTAGTTATTACAGTAACAAAAAACTTACAAAAAGACATAACCAGCGCTTCTTGATGGATGAGAGGCAAAGTGAAAGAACATATGGAAAGTGAAATATTATTGCAATCAGTGTTGAACCCCAGAACTCTAGAGGACTGAGGCAGAAGGATCACAAGTTTGAGTGAAGCAGTGAGACCCTGTCTCAAAGGGGGCGGGGGCTAGCAATGAAAGGCCGTGGTTTCAATTTCCCAGTACCAAAAGAAATAAAAGGAAAAATACAATCTGCTGCATTAGGTATAGCATTTTATTCTTCTAAATCTCACAGGTTTCCTTCTCAAGTTACAAATAGAAAGTAGACTAAAGGAATATATTTTCTTTTGGCAAAAAAAATCTGTCAACTGTTTGAAAGTCATTAGAGAAAATAGGATAATATGAAAAAATATCAATACTAAACCATCAAGTTAAAACAGAAATCCAACTCTCTTTGGCCAACTGATTCACAGGATGCTATAGGATGCTAAAGACTGGTATCATCAAAATATTGCATTCCAGGCTACTATCGGCAGGAAACTGGAAACATGATTTGTTAATTCAGTAAGTCAAACTATTACTAAATGAGTGTGATTTGGTAATACCTGTAATATTTTCCTTTTTAATCTGGAAAAAATGTACTTCTTTTCAAAAATGTCTTTTACCATCTTGCATCATCTTCAATACTACTACTACTACTAATAATAAAATATATGAAAATATAAAATTAGGGAAAATGAGACAAGAATCAAGAAACCAAAGGGAAAAATTAAGGTGTAGGTAGTTGGAATTTTAAATTTCATAAACAAGAAAAAAATACTTCTTGTACCTCTCAGGAACCAAAGCCATGGTTAGAACAGTGATATGTACCAAATACCAAAGATCATACATGTCATTGCATTATTTTCTGGTATTCTTACTTCCATAGTGTCTACAATCAAGCAGTTCTCTGTGTGTCAAAATATACCATCATTCTGATATCTGATTTCTGTATTTGGTAGTTTGGGATTTTATTTTATTTTTTGGAACAGAACTCTAATTTTTTCTAAAGAACTTTGATAACTTTTGCTATTTTGCTGGCACAACAGGATTATGTGGATGGGTTAATGGAAAGAAGGCTGGGTAGAAGGTGTAAAGTTTATTTAATGGGGAAGGAGTGGAAGATTATCTTCTGTCTATGTGCAGAAGATGGTAAAGCATGCTCCCATACAGAACTGCTACTTCCGAATCCCCAGAGTTCTCCCCGTGGATGGAGCTGTGCATGACACTAGCTATAAAGAGTGGATGACTGTATCAGATATGAAAATAATCTATTCACAATTCTCAGAAGTGTTTTTTAAAAAGCCTTTTAAAATATAATATACACACAAACAAATGCACACATCATACATGTCAAGCTTGATGTGTTCTCAAAAACTACTGGTTCAAGAAAGTTTTTACATCTTCAACTGTATTCTGCCTAATTGTTCTGGAAACTGATGTTGGATTTGCCTGTTAAACAAATGCATCCCTGATTATGTACTGTGAAACTAGTAATTCTCAAGCTCAGGCCTCCACTGGCCAGACTTCGAGCTTATATAGGACCTTTCCCAGTTTTCCCTCTCCTGATCATTTGTCTCTCTCCTCTGAGCTCTTGTTTATTCTGGAGCACACACTTACTTTAATCAGTGGCTTACTAGTTGTTCACACCTCCTCTGTCCCATTTGCAATTATATTTTGAGAGCATATATTGCTTGGTATTTAATTGAAAAGTTAGTTTTCCTTAAGATTTATCATGTAAAATTTCTGTATTCCAGGCCAGGGATTTAGCTCAGTGGTGCCACAGCCTGCCTCACAAGCACAAGGTCCTGAGTTCGATCCCTGAACCAATAAATAAATAAATAAAATTCTGTATTCCTTAAGTAGTATTATTACAAGAAGATGAACTAGATTATATTTTTATTAGAAACAACCACAAAATTAAATCCAGGAATGCATTAAATACCCAAGTCTTTACTATTCCAAATCAAAGGTCCAAATATTTTGACAGTTTGTGCTAACCAATTCACTATATAATCAAAGATCTTTGTAAATCCTTACAAATTTATCTGTATAAACTGTTCCTATAGTTTATTGGAAGGATATTTTAGAACATTTCCCAAATTGCAAACTTATATAGACTAGCTGTAGCAGTGCCTCCTCAGGACAGAGAACTGACCAAATTTGATTGTCCTCAAAGTCACTGTGCTCATCTTACTGGCCTGTGTAGGAAGGAGTTCAAAGAATATTATAACCAGTTTTGCTCACCAAGTTAGTGAGAAAATAAAAGTATTACTCAAATTCAGCAAGACTGCAAAGAGACAGGCACTACCACATATTGCTGAGAGTGCAAGCATAAAACCACCCCAGAAAAGCCAAGTTCTTAGTAAGTACCATACTTAAGAATCTTTACACCCTCATGCCCAATAATTACATTTCTATTTGATTATATTGTAAGTACATATTCATAAAGGTGGATAAAACAAGATGAATGTAATTATTATATATCACAAGTATATTGTAAAAATGAAAATTTTGTAAAATAAAAAAATACAGATAAATATTTATGTACAAAGGTGTTTAATCCAACATTATTTATAAAGGGCAAACACATTGAAACCACCAACCAGCAACAGGGAAAATGTTAAACAATAGTGGACCATTAGGCAGAAAAAAATAAGAAAGCTAATGAAGAAATTTTAGGCATGGAAAATACTCAGCATACAAGTTTTAAAAGGCACTATGCAAGACATTTTGCTCAATTACTGAGCCAAAGGAATTGAGTTATCTTTGATGTGATTATTAGCTATTTATTTTTTATATTTCTTACAGCAAGATCTATTATTTATACAACTTGTAGTTGAAAAATACTCTTTTGGCAGTACTTTAGAATGTAATTAGGTGTTCAAAATCTTAATTATTATACACTCTGATAATTTAAAAATCACAGGAGGTTCACAAAATCGTGAATTTTGATCATCCTTTCCCCTACTCTTTAAACCATTTCCCACGACTTCAATTTCATCTTTAAATGTGAGCATTTTAAAATTATTTCTCTTCAAATATATGACTTTGATTTCCTAGGGATGATATATTGTCATGTTTCTCACTAAAAATACTAAAATCTCATAGGTTAAAAATAAAAGCTAGCAGAATCTTTGATTTTCATCTGAATGTAGTCCTACTATGTCGTGCATTTAGTTAACAAGAGCAACTAGCCAAGAAACTTTTTACTAGATAATTTTTATCTCAAAAAGCACCGGCAGGAAAGCGTGTTGTCATCCGCACGTGAACTCCACCACCTACCCGTGAGCCACCCAGACACTGGAAGGCTGGAAATAGGCACCGAGTTCTGGGGACCCAAAGGTCCCATCAGGGCTGTGCGCTGGGGACCTGCAGGCTAGGGGGCCCAGGGCTACTCAGCCTGGCCAGGAAAGAGAGCGTTGGGAAACCTGAGCCCAGAGGCGATGCCGAGGACACCTGGTCATGGCCCAATGAGGATAACAGTATCAAAGATGCCTCTCAGGAGAAGTAAGACCGTGCAGACCAGAGAACTACATACAGCACGGCCGAAGGAGGAGGTTTTCAAAAGTTAAACTGGGATGTGTGTTGATGCGGTGCCCCTCCTCCGTTGATATGCACATTTCAGATACTCACTAGACCTTTGGACTTCTGCTTCCCCAAACCAAAACAAACCACTGAAACTGCAAGCCCTGCCCACGTCCCAGGGGGGCGGCCAGCACTGCA